CCTGCAGGAAAGCAGACATCTCTCCTCTCACCCTGTGGACTGATGTGCCTTCTTCATGGCTTGTAGAAATACAGTGCACAAGCAACAGATCCTAGTGAAGGAAACACCTGGTACGTTTGGACTCACTGAACCATCACTAGTTTGTCATTAAAAGGGAGGATGGCATAAATGGTCCTAGAAGAATGCACACAGACCCTGGTATGAATAACAAAGAAAATGCCAGAGTAGCATGGGTGATGTTTTAATGTCCTGGGGAAGGAGAATTTTAGGAATCTGAACCATGCAAAGATGCTTGCTGATGTTCCTGGGTCACTGGCTTGAAACCACAGCAGCCAGGAGCTCCTGGAAGGTTTGCTGAGGGCTTCAGGTGGAGGAGTGGAACTAGAACTGGAGCAAGTTTCCTGACTGAGATTGAAACCACAGCAGCCAGGAGCTCCTGGAAGGTTTGCTGAGGGCTTCAGGTGGGAGGAGTGAAACTGGAACTGGAGCAAGTTTCCTGACTGAGTCTCACAGTCCACACACCACAGCCTTCTAGCTTGAGGAAATGTAGTAGAAGAGATATATAAATGTAATGTGACATATATAAATAGGAATATTACTAACTAGGAATATTCTTTCTGTGTCTTATTCTCAGTGGCAGCACCTATAAGTCATCAGTTCTGTTATGTTATCTGTAAGTACAGGATAAGGCCAGAATTGTTTTAAAATTCAGTTTATCCTGCTAATTCTAAACCTCAGTGCTGTAATATTGACTTTCTTTTTATTACATAATCCTTTGCCTTTGGGAAAGGAGTACAGAAGGTGTTAAAGTTGCCATCAACAGCTAACGCTATAAAATATATTTCTTTTTTGCCAACATGATTGTCTCATATGGTAGCTGAAAAAATAGAGATATTAATAAATATGGCTGGCATATTGGACTCAGAATTAAAAATTGTTTTTTCAGGGCTACACTCATGCAGATTTACTTTTTAAGTATACAAGATAACTTTTGATAGCACAGATTCCATCTGGAGTAAAACAATAGCAATGTTAATTGTAATAATGCTGCATTAGTGGTGGAGCCTTGCTGATAAATAATGTACCACAAATACTGCATCACAAACACTGCCTCCTGTATTCCTGCTCCAAAATCTCAAGTGAAGTATCTCCTGCCCATTTTGCAGCTGGGGAAGGTGAGGCACAGAGTGATTTGCCTGAGGTCCCCAAGGAGCAGCTGCAGGGCTGGGGAGAGCAGAGTGTGGCAGTGATCCCAGCAGGAAGCGTGTCCTGCCATGCAAACCCCGGGCTGTGCAGGGCAGCTGCTGCCATGCAGGGCCTCTGGTGAGGGATCGGGAAGCTCCCATTGCAATGAGGTGTTCTGACCCCTTGAAAAAGGCTCAGTGTTTTGGAGTGCTGCTGCCCTCTCGGGATGTGCGGTGCTTTCTGCAGAAAGTTGTTCCTGTCCCCTCTGTGACATCAACCTCCACCATATTTGCAGTCCAAACAATCTGAGGGTAAACAAGGAAGGAAAACAAGCAGCCAACTGCTTTCCATTGAGTTCATGGGTTTCTCCTGGATGCTTTGCAAGAGTTTTGTTTATCCCAGCTCCGGCTTCTACCCGCAGTGATGTGAGCAAGCGAAGGAGCCACGAGCTCTCTGGTGTCAGTGCAGGTGGCCCAGCTGTGGTCACACAACAGCAGCAGCTCAGGTGGTGGGGTTTGAGATGTGACCTGGTGCTACAAAACCACAGCACAGCCTTGGTGATGTCCTTTGGTTTATTATTCTGCTCTTTGTTCTCAAGGGCCTGCAACAAGCCCTGCAGAATAAAGAGGATCTGTTTGTTGTGTTTGGGATTTTAGGGTGTTTTTTGAACAAATCAGCTGCTAAAAATGTGTCTGTCATTTTTTAAAAAGGCATTTCCTGTAAAATCAGCTGGCATTGTCACTCTGACTGGGCTCTCTTCTCGTCTGCAGTAACCCAGCACTTTGGTACAAAGTGATTTTTTCTCAACTAAAACATATCCAGAAAGACTGCTGGTTTCCTTCAATCAGAGGGAAGTTTAATTAAAAAACCCCATATTTATTATGATGGTAGGACCAGCCTATCCCTCAAACATTAATCTTTCTTTTTATCAGTAAATATGAAAAGGAGATAGTGTTGAACCAACGTGGTGCAGGGACTCCACACACACTGAGGAGAAACTGCAGCTTTTTTTTCTCTTCAGCTCATCCAATTTTTTCTGCAGAGCCTGATTTTTGACAGAGTGATTAAAAATATTTTTGATCAAGCCTGGGAAGGCAGCAAATTTGTTCTCAGCACCCACATAAATAATGCCATGATGTCTGAAGGTCTAAAAAATATCTATAAAACATATGTCAGCAAGAAATAGCATTTCCAAGGCAGCTCTGCTCTCAACTTTTCTGCTGGAATGTTTAAAGAGAAATTATTAGTGTGGATTTTTAAAATAATCATGGAGGTTTTAAAAAAACTCCTGCTTGGTTATCCTTTTTGTGTTTGCAAAATGCTTTTTTTTTTTAAAGTGAATCATTGACAAATTTCTTACTCTATTTTTTTCCTTTTTTTTTTTTTTTTGGTCACATCAACTGAGATATATCTTAATGTATTTTAAGTTGTTCATAGATGTCTTGGCACAACAGATTTTTCCTTTTCTCTTTGTCAGCACAAGAATCAGTTCTTTGCTGGCTGGTTGGATTTTTCATTAACGAATTTCAAAACACACAGTGCTTTGCTTAATTACAGTCTCTATTTTCAGCTTCCTCATCAGAAGGTAGAGGTAACTGTGTAACATGCAGATTGAATTCCAGGTATTTCAGCCAATTGTGCTGTTCAAGGACTACTCTTATGAGCTTCTGAGCGGTTCTGTTGCATTAATTTTCCATGCCCATTTACAGCAGTAAAGATTATCAGCTTGTTTACTGCTTATAAGTCGAAAGGCCAAATTAAAAGCAGTTGTGTAACTTAAAGAGCTATATCTCCAGCTGATCCCTATTTTCCATTACCTGCAATATTCACAGTTAGTTTTGGATTTGTGTTTTCAGATTTTTCTTATCTCCATGGGCCGAGCTGGGGCAGAGATGGCAAGAGGCAAATTGATGCAGCAGAAGCAGGCACTGCCTTTTTCCACAGCAAGTGCTGGGTGAAGATGTGTGTGAAACTTCAGCTTGAAACCAATTATGCCTCAGCTCTTCTCTGGTGGGAATAGAGTTAATAATAATCTCTCATTGTCTTCCTGTCCTCCTTCTGCTATTATCTGTGCTGCAATCCAAAGGAGCACTGGTTGTAGCTATTTAGTATTTCTGTAATAACCGCAGCCACAGATGCAAAATATTCCACTCAAAGTGACATTCTTCAGAATGGAACATGATGTTGATAGCTCAGCTAGCTGTAGGTGAACTCAAAGTTTGATTTTTTAGCAAAAAAAAGTTTTGTTGTATGCTTTTGCTCTCTGAGAGAACAAAACAAAAATACCTGTCTTTTAAATTCTCAGCCCCACACTTCCTGACTGACCCAATATGAACCACTGCTGCTCTGCACACATTATTTCCTCTCTTTGAAAAAGAAAAAAAATTAGCCACAGTCTGGCAGCACCTTGCACTTCCATTGACCTTATCTCTCATCTTTTGGGGGTAGCAAGCTGCTCTTCGCAAGACGGGCTAAAAGCAGAGCAGGGCAGAGGCGGACAGACATCACCTCCTCCAGCCCTGTCCTTTCTCATTCTGCTGACTGAACTCCTCCCTGACATCAAACCACCTCACCGGTGTCCACTGTAGTAGGAAGGTGGAAATATTTTGTTATACTCCTTCTGTAGTATCAAGGAATTTTTTTGATGCCTTTTTTGTCTGGCAATTTTCTTAGCAAAACCTCCTTTCTGCAGCACTGCTGCTATTGCACTGCCTGCTGTTGTCATGCTACAAAAATCATCAAAAAGCAACTTTAGCTCTTGTTTTTGCTGTGGAACTGAGGCTTTCCTGCCACAGCAGCGGCCAAGGTCTTCTCAGCCCGCTGAAGACGTCTGTCAGCAGTCAGCAGCTCTGTGTGTTCCCTCCATCTGTGCTGCCAGACCAGGGGACAGCTGCTGAGTGGCACTTACTGGGAGCAGGATTTTCTTTCTTTTCCTTAGAGGTCCTATAAAGAGCCTCTTCTCCAGTTATCTTTCCGCATGGCTTTTTATTTTTAGTTTTCCGTATTTTCTTTTTCGTCAAAGAGTGTCATGTTTTGTTTTGTTTTCATAAAATGTCTCAAAAAATGAACTGTTTTGCCATATTCAAACTGTGCTTTGATATAAATATTTGTATTACATTTCAATATGTTAAAATCATATTTATTTCTAAGTAGATTTATCTACAGATCTAATTATAAATTCTGATTATTATTTCCATATAAATGAATTGAAAACCGGTATTATTCAGCTTCAAAGTATTCACTATTTTTAAAATAAAAAAATAAAATGAGTGCTAGTTATCAGTTGTTAAGAAAGTGAACCTTCTCCTCATCTATTTCCCTCAAGGGTAACAAACCAGGAGTTCTTTTCCAGTCTAACTTTTAAATCCTAGGTTCCATGCTTAAACCATTTTCTCCTAACAGCACGTGTGTAAACACAAGCCGAATGTTTGCATATATATTATAAATACATATCTCAAAACAGACGTGACTTTTTCAATTCTCAGGGTTTTGATGTTTTTTCTTCCTAAGGATTAAAGATATTTGACATTTTCCTAAAAGCTCAATGAGCAGAGTCCCTGAGGTTCTTAGTGTTTGTAAAAAAAGTAATTTATAAACCCCTTGGATGCAGAAAAACCTTAAAACAGAAAGAAAGGGCATCCCAAAAGTTTAGAAACCAGAAGGCAAATAATTTGAAATTTGCCTAAGACAACCAGAAACTTAGAATTGCTGACCTCAGGTGGGGGCATTGTTAGCACATTGCCAGGCTATTAACGCACGATGCAAGTGAGTGTGAAAAGGCTCAGCCCATGCGGGTGCTACAAGAGGAGAGAGTCCTGCTGGCTGGAAGGGACCTATTTCAGAATTAGTGTTCCACTTTTTTCTTAGAACTTTTTTGCTTTTATTTTTTCCCCCCTACTAGCAGCAGCCATAACAAAACCTGTCCTTGCAAAGAAGTGTCATCAAAGGTGGCAACTTTTTTCTTTTAAATTTTAAATTAGCTAAAAGACCCAGGCTGTCGAAAACTTGATTAGAGATTTTGTATGCTTAAGGGGTTTTAACAGTGTGCTTTTACCCAGGTGGAGTCAGAGTACAAAGAGGAAGAAACCTCCGTTTGACGCTGCCTCACTAATCTCAGCAGTGTATCACTCATTATTCTGCACAGGATTAAAGGTAAGCTCTGTATTGCTGCCTTTGAGGCTCAGCAGGGCACTTATCCTTTGCAAAAATGGGTTAAATAATTCCCCACGTGTGGCAGAAAGGTTCTGGAGAGAACACAGTTGGGTTTAAATTACCTGGCAGAGCCTTCAGTGTTCCAGCCTCTGTCTTCTCTCCTGTAAAATATTCTGTAGCTTAGTTCCATGATGAAAGGACTTTCTTAATCATAAAGGAAATTTTAAAACCTTTTTTTTTTATTTAAAGAGAAGGTGGTATTTGAAAATTACTAGTCCAGTCTAAGAAGAAAAGAGGAAACAATTTTTTTTATGTGTGTGTGTTACATTTTTACAATCATTACAAGCACACACAAGTCCTGGATGCTCAGCTGAAGTTAACCAAGATATTTTTAATTGGAGATCAGGTCAAATAAGCACTTTTAAATTAACTTTGCTAGGCTCTTTATTCTAGACATTGTCTCCTGTTAAATGAAGAGCATATTAGAAATTTTCCATGGAAAGAAAGTTGGTTGCTCTTTTTTTTTTTTTTTTTCTCTGTAGAATTAAAATATTGTGTCTATTTTTAAAGCATCTCATAAAGTGTCTAAATTCAGATTTTCAGTGAAATGTTAGTGACTGAGAGGTGTTGCAGCTAGTGTTTACCAACATATTGTGTAGTTTCTGAATTTTGCACAAATATAATCTGTTTGGAGATGTAAAAATATTATTTTTATAACATAATAAGTGAAACAATAGGATTCTACCTATATTCATTTATATACACACACACACAACTATGTTTGAGATCAGCAGCCATATGGGGTTGTTGATATCTGCCTGCATTTCTGAAAAATGGTCCTTTGCTCTTCTAAACTGAGGCTCTTCTGAAGCTACAAAGGTAACTTTGCTCCCCAGGATACTCAGAAGTCTCTTAGTAAAAATCATGATTGTAGATCACCCCATACCAGCTCCCACCTCGACCTGCTGGCACACGGGATCTCTAACACTGCATGTTGAAAAGATGCTTATCACAAAAACTGGAACAGAAGGTTTTGACCCTTCAACATGACTCACTCAGTTATGACTACAGTGCAGAAAGATAACAGCAGTTGCAGGAGTGATTTGCATTCTACACAAATATGCTGATCCTGGAGATATAACCAGATGGATGCTTTTCCAAGGCACAGGCATCTGGAAGGCATATCCCTGTAGAGCATCTCATTCTATCTCTATTCAGAAATTATCACTCATGGATATCGTTAATTTTTCAATCATATTTTGATTTTAGTGACATTTTGACACGTGTTTTTACATGACTACATGCTTATCTGCATTAGGACCAGCGTGCTCTTGCCATCCCCAGAGAATTCTTGTGCTTTGATTAACAAGAGGGCTTTTCTAAACTTTTCTGATGTAGCATGTGTCAGATTAAAGCTGATCTATGCATGAGTGAGCACAGATGCAAGGAACTTCTCCTCCCTTCCTGTGTGCCCTGAGAGAAGGCCTTGCACAATAATAAATCCCTGCAATCAGCCATGTAGAAAGTAAAGAAAGACCTGGCCTATCTCAGTTTTATCATCCCAGAAAAGCTTCCACCAGCAGTAGCGAGATCAGTGTTAAGAAGAGTTCAGCAGAATGGGAGGAAAAAGGAGAATGACCATGGAGAGAAGCCTTGGTGTGTGTTCTTGTCACACTGAGTCCCCCCTGGGGCTCCCTGGGACGAGCTCAGAGCAGTGGCTGAAGGCTGAGTTGTGCCCAGCCTGCCTGAAGATCCCTTTCCTGAGCCTCTCCCGGCTTCCAGGGATAATGAGTGAGAGCAGGAGGCTGAAGAGAATGGTAACAGAGCCTTTTCTCTCCTCAACTCACCCGTGGTGCTACTCTGTAGTGGGAAAGAAATGAAAGGCTGAAAGTTACCTGGGGGAGAACCGGACTGTTTCTTGCTGAGTTTCAACTCGCTTAATTCAAAATTATTGTCAAATGATGTTTTTTCCCCCAGTTCTTCCCACTCAAAAGCACATTATTTTTATGATATATTTTAATGTAATTGGCTTAAAAAGCACAGGAGAAAATTTTCTCTGATTCCCTGCAGAGTCTTCTGCAGTTTTCCTTTTCTGCTGAGGCCTTGTAACATCCGTATCAGCTCATTGTTGATAGCAGCGGTAATGAGCTGCTGGTATTTTATCACTGTGGATGTAGTGACTGTAATATTTATGTAATTTATGTAATATTTCATCTGAAGGTGGGATTACAGGCCCTTTAAACATACTGGTGTTTTCTGTGGTCAAAACTGGCCCAAGATGCTGAGTAAATGACTTGTTATTATGTGTCTAAAAAATGCACTTTGACACTTATTTCAAATATTTTCACATATATTTTTTAAAAGTTTTTTATTGAGCATCACAAACCACACAGGAGAGTTTTCACTTGACTGAAACTTTTGAAAGTGTAATTCTGATAAATGAAAAGGTTTTTTCTGGCACAGTTAGCTTTGCTATGAGGAAATGCCATTCCAAAGTCAGGACATTATGATAAAACCTGGAAGCAATGTTCTGCCCAAGGCATGTAACTGCTGTGAGATCTTTGGCAAACTTGCTCACCCTCTGGGCCTGATGCCTTTGAAAATGTGATATAATGATTTCCATTTTTTAAAAAATTGTTTTGACATCTACAAATGCAAATTGTTACAGAAATTGTAAGGGACAGCAGTGTATTTGGTGTATGATGCCAGTGGGCAGTAACTCCTCAGAAGATTTTTTAAATGCAGATCTTGCAAATAACAAGGGACAGGGTGACTGAACTGAGGAGTAGCTCAACTTTTGAGGACTCAGACAAACATTTCAGCAGGCAGCAGGCCAGCCACTTACAAGTACAACCACCCTTCCTTCATGTCAGCTTTTCTGCTAGTGATCTTAGTAGTTTACTTTAAGTCAATATTTACTTTAAATATTATGATTAAGTGACAATAATTTACTGAGATTAAAATGCAACTCTGATAAGAATGGAGCCAAGTACACACTAGAACACTTTCTACAAGAGATTCTCTTCAATGAGCCTGAGCTCTGTTATGCTGAGATGTGCTGGGGGTGTTGGACCTGTCACACTCTGTGATGGTGTTGAAGGTGGATCTCCTGTAAAAGTCACTACTTGAATTGTGCTGCTACAGCTGAACATTGCTCTCAAAGGTCAGCTTCATGCTACAAAGGCCCTTTGAGCCACTAAAGATGATCAAGGCATCCCAGAGTAGCTGAAGCTGTTGCCATGAGGAGCTGGGGTGGCTCAGGACTGCTCTGCCAGTGGCAACAGTCACTGGGAGGGACATCCTTCCCCTCTTCCCTCCAGACTGCAGCAGTTGTTGCTGCCTCACTCTAAGTGTGCAGAGTTCTCCTGACAGGCTTAAAATCAGCTTGAGTCCTGCAGATGAAAAGTTCATAAAGGCAAACCTTGAAAGTTTTCTTTATGAAACATCTGGTTATAGTTTTGCAGCTCTAACCAGAAAATCTAGCTGAGCTAATACATCCTGCTAAGGAGTGCAGAGACTGTGGTGGTTAGTAAATCCTTTGGCTACAAAATGTCTGTGACTGTCTCTAAAATATTTGTTTCTCCTGCCTAATCACTCTTTAACATTTCTTACAATTGATGGGGTAAAGATTTTCAACTTCTGTCTTCTGCACAAAAACTATTTTTTCTTTGTATCTCCTGTGAGGAATTGGCACCAGTTTTGTGACCATTATTTATTATATCCACGAGGCTTTCGTGCCATACTTTATTCTTCAGGCGAAGCTATCAACACTTCATTATCAAATATAAGACAGGGTTGAACTTTCAATGCTGTAATTAAGAGAGTATCAGCATGAACACTATAAATTCCCTTTCTGAGGGATTTATGACCAAAATGTAAAACTATACTCTAGCTGAAAAACTTGCTTTTCAGATATTATACTATAAATTGTGATATTTTAACAATTCAAGGGGTCTTTAAAAATTTTAAGAAGGAAGATAAACTGAAAAGAAAAAAGAATAAAGGAAGGAAGATTTTATTCTAGTGATTAACTTTTTTTTTTTTAAACATACAGGCTTTGCTGGGGCAGATTCTTCAACTCAGACCTAATTTTCCCACACCTGTCCTCAGCATACATTTTCCTCAGAGAAAAAAAGCTCTACAGTTTTTTTTCCCCTACAAAAAGGACTGGAGATGTCACCTAGTAGTTATCTGTGACTATGAAATCCATAATCCTTACAGGTAATTATGTAGTCTGCCTGGAAGTTCTCACTTTTGAGGTTTGGTTGTTGGATGGCAGAGCTGCTGATTCTGACAATAACTCAAATCTGTTGGGATTGTGAGGAAGTCTGAGTACTCTTATTTCAGGTCTAGTGAATGTGCTGAGTAACAGCTGCTGTTTCTAAGAGTTACTCTTTTATTGGTTTGGTTTTAAGGATTGCTTACTCCATCTGAGATTTTGTTACATCCAGCAATTTTCAGGATTCACTGTTATGATCCCCACTGCAGCTATGACTCTCTTCAAGATACATATTTTCTCTGGCTATATAATGACTCTTCAGCTTTAAGAGCATTTTTATCAGGTCAGTCTAAGGTCATGCAAGAAATGTTGGGAATGGGCAGGTTTTATTTGTCCTTCTACACCACCAGTGAGGCACAACCACAAGTATGCCCAGAACAAAGTTTTTCTTTGCAGCAGTGTTTTAACTACTGCGGCACAGCTCTAAATACCACCAAGATGAGCAGCTCTGTGCCTGTGTGGCTCCTGGGTTGCTCAAGGGTGGTTCCTGTGCTAAGCTGTGCCATGTGGCTGGTGAGGAGACTGTTGGTACCTGGCCAAGCGAAGCAGAACCAGGAGGGGCAGCTGGGGCTGGTGTTTGCTGGAACTTGGATTCACTGTCAATGGGCCCAGATGACTCCTGGATCTGACAGCTGACATTAAGTGAATACTGCCATCTCCTGCTTGTAAAACGCCCGGGATCACCTGCACCCTTCAGCTCTGTGGGGCGTGAATGGATGTTTGGATATTAGCATCTGCAGCTGGGGAAATTGGCTGCTTGGCTCTTGCTTTTTGCCACTGTTCACATCATTTCAAAGGCAGCTTCAACATGAAATATTGAAGACTTGAAAGATGAGCTAGAAATATTGTGTGGCAGAGACACACCATGGTGTGACTAATAAATATTCTGCTATTCTTATTAATTTACTACCATGGCTCCTGTTAGATGTTATGTGAATTTGTAATGGAGTCACACTTTTTATAAAGATAAAAACTTTTCCCAGGTTAGACTCCTGGAAAAATGTGAAAAGTCTTCACAGAATAGCAAACAGTGATAAGATTGCAATGATCATCTTTGTTTTGCATTTAAAATTAACCACACCCTTTCCCAGGTATTGGCTTTCAGGCTTTTCTTCCTTTTGTGGTGGTATATTTTGAATGTGTCCTTCAGTTCTTTTCTGATAGGTCATCACGCTTATTTGAAAGCCTTTGGTACTTTTGAGCATGATAAAGGCTTGTTAGTTTGCTTTTGGGAAGAGTTTCCCAAATTGCTCCTACAGAAGACACAATTGATGTTTTCTTCTCCTTCTGTGTAGCTAGGGAATATTTTTGGTGGCATTTGGTGCAGAACCCCATTGCAAGTATGATTTTGTTTCAGTAGTTTCTGCACGTATAGGGTGAAAGTATCAATTCATGTTTGATTACTGTTCAATTATATATAATGCTGACTGAAATTATGGAAAACTATTTTTTATCCCAACAGAGTAGATTAGTGTTGTTAAAGGACCTGTGCTTTTCACTCCCTTGTGCCACTCGCCAGTTTTGGAAGGAGGGGAGATGAAGAATTATCTCCATGAAACTTAAGGTCAGTGTTTGGGAATCCGCATTTAGAATACAGGACCTGCCATTGTAACATGGCACAGCCCTTGCAGAAATGGCCAAGATCTTCGAAAATGCTGTGGCATCCCTAGCTTTGGTTTCTGGGCGTTTATTTTGGTGTCTGCTGGACTGGCATGACTTGTTCCCTGTGATGACCTCGTCATCCCGCCTATGGGTGTAGGAATTTCCCCAGATTTATCAAATTGGTTTGGGGCAAGACCGACACATCAAGTCTAATGGCTGTACCAGGGCTTGACCTGCAAGCAGGATGTCGTCCTACCACTATTCTGAATCCCAATCTGGGAAATATATCCTAGCATCGCTACTCCTAAACTGACACACGATACAAATGCAGCGGATCACTTTGAGTCAGTTTCATCTTGACAAGGCAACTCCAGCGACAGTGAAACTGTACAGCCTTTTCCTAAGGCCCCATCACCCTCCTCAGACGAGCAGGACATCACCTCCGAGCGGCGGGACAGCGCTCCCTGGCAGAGGGGACAGTGCGCCTCAGGGGCTGCGGGCAAGGGCCCTGCGGGGACACGGGCAGAGGGACGGGGCGAGAAATCCCCAGCAGTCCCGGCCCCGCTTCGGCGCTGAGGAGGACGCGGGAGAGCAGGGCCGGTGCCCCAGGACAGCCCGGGGCTGAGGGCAGGGCCGGTGTCCGGGGGCTGAGGGCAGCCCGGGGGCTGAGGGCATCGCCGGTGCCCCAGGGCAGCCCGGGGGCTGAGGGCAGCCCGGGGGCTGAGGGCATCGCCGGTGCCCCAGGACAGCCCGGGGGCCGAGGGCAGCCCGGGGCACGGGGTCAGGTGGCGCCGCCCCTTCCCGGTGACGGCAGAAGGAGCCCCGAGAGGCGCCGCGGGACCAGCGGGACGGCAGCGCCGGCACTGCCCGCACTGCCCCGCCGCCGCACGGAGCCCCGCCGCCGCGCAGGTGAGGGCGGCCCGGCGGCAGCAGCAGCAGGTGCCGCGGGGCTGGGGCGGGACGGCGAGTCCGGCTGGAGGGAGGGAGGCTCCGGGGAGGGCAGGCGGGGGATGCGCGGGGTCGGTGCGGCGGAGGGCGAGGGATGGTCGTGCCGCGGGGCGGAGGGCGCTTGGGCTGGAGAGGACAAGGCAGGCTGGGGCTCCCTGAGGTGGCCCCGCGCCCTGTGTCTGGCCGGGCCCCGCCGCAGCCCAGGCTGACGGAGAAGAAGGAAGGAAACCTTGGCAGTGTGGCGGTGCTGAGAGCAGCCCAGCCGTGCGCGGCCCTGCCCGGGCTGAGGGCCCGGCTCGGCGGGCAGTGGGCACCGCGGTTCGGCGGGGCCGCTCCCCTGCTCGCCCCGCCAGGCCGCAGGGCTCTGCGGGCAGCGGCTGCAGCGCCAGGGCCGTGCATCGATAGTGATTAATTATTACAGACATTAATTATTAATGATTAATCACATCGATAGTGATTAATTATTACTGCTGTAGTTCTGCACTGGTGTCACTGGTGCGTATCCATCTGGCGAGGTGATGTCCTAAATCCAAAGGCAGAGCTCCGGGCAGAGGACGCAACAAACTTTTTGCAATGCCCAGAGCACATGGGAAAGTTTGGAAATTGACTGGAGACAAACTTTGGACTGCACTTCTTGGTTAACTTTCTGTGTCTGGAAAGCACCTGCTGTGTCATGTGGGTGAAATTGTAACAGACTATGGATACATCAGTGGTTATCTGAGCTATTCTTTGCTAGCTGCTATGTTTATAGATTGCCTTTTCTAGTTTTTCCTCTCTGTGTAATCACGAATAAAGTTAGGAGCTATACACTAATCTTCTGCTAAGAGGGTTTGTTTGTTAAAGTCTGAAGTAAAACTAAGTGGACAGGATAGATTTTTTTTTTCTATGTCCATGTTCAGGCTTTTCAATTAAAACCTATCAGAACAGGTCTTACACAAACAGTAACAAGTAATCCAAGTTTTGCATATGGTACAGGACAACTTCAAAATTTAGCTCCTGTAATTCCTACAGTTAAAGGGAAATTGTCATGTCTGTGCCTAAGCTGGAGCTTGTGGCATGTTTTGATGATTATTAACTCACTTGCTGAGTCCTGTAAGTGATGTTAGATCTTTCCAGCTGAAGCTTAAGTAACTTTTCAGCAGAAGAGCAGTGATGCTTCTGTTACACACAGCACCTTGTAGCTCACACTCTGCTGGTTTGGAGGCATGCAGGTAATGGGCTGATGAAGGTCATCACAGAACTCTGCTGCATGAATGGGTAGAAAGATTGTTAATTTAAGTTGTGCAGTGATGGGTGTCAGGAAGGCTGAGGGGCACCTGTGGGTGAGTGTAAGACAATTCCTGGTGTTTGAAGGTCTTACCCAAGGACTTGGTTAGTTCTTTTAGTATTAGGCAGCTTTTTGTGATGTTACTCCTAAAGTGGAGCAGGTAGCCAGAACAGTCTAGGAGTGGTCAGTTAGGTTGATCAAATACTGCAAATATTCTTTCCACCTTAAGTCAAAACCTTGGCTTGTGACTTAGGAGTTCAGTTATATTAAATTTACTGTTCTCTCTGGTTTCGGGAGAAAGAGCTCCTTTAAAAGGGGAAGTACAGTATATTATATTCAACAGAAACTGCTTAAGAAGCCACTTCTGAGAGGCAGTTCCTTTGTACTAAGGGAGTTATCTCTCAAAAAACCTACTGCATTGCCCTTTCTTAAATAGCTGTATTTAGAAACTTCTTTTCTTGTTTTTCTAAATCATATTTCATTTAACAGCCATACCTTGTACTGTAAGAGGCAGAGCTGATGTATATTTTTTTATAATCTCTTGAAAACCCATGCTCATTTAAAAGTTCAGGTTTTTGTTATTCAGTATAGTGCTGCACAAATGCTTAATCCTTATCCCAGATCACAGCTTATTTGTTTTATTATGATTCTTAATGAAAGGAGCAAAGTGAGAAGACAGGGTTTCTATTTTTTTATTAGAAAACAGACTCTGTTCAAACATTTTAATTAAATTGTTTATATTTCCCTCCTTTCATTTCTTATTTTAACAAATCATTGTAGCAAGATGACAATGGGTGTCTTTTTAGGTTCAGGCCTGTCATAATTTATATTATTATTTTCAGGTAGTCTAAAAGGATCAGTTGCATTATGGCTAGAAGAAAATAATAAATCCACTGTTGATTACAGTACTTCAAAGTTGTTCACTCCCTCCCAGCTGTAGGATTGGGATACGTAAATTTTTTTCAGTAGTATAAGGAAAGAATACTCCATTTTTTTTATTACTGTAACAAGGCAATATAAAACACTGAATGATGTGTATGTTTTGCAAACCATGCTCTACATCCTGCTGTAGAGCACTTCAAGCTCACTGTTGGCAGAGGCAAGAAAGGACTCTTGTGGCTTCTCTGTTAACTTGCAAAAACAAAAAGTGTTTATTGAAGTGGTAGAATTCAAAAAGGGATTGCAAAGATTGCACCGGGCAGCTTCAAAGTCGGGGAGATTGTTCCCGGTGAGACGGTGCTAAAGGCCATCGAGTGCTGTTAATGAAGAGGCAGCAGCAAAGCGCAGTGAGGAGCCAGCCAGGGGTGAGGGGGCGAGGCTGGCAGAAGTCACGAAGGGGAAGCGAGAAGTGCCACGGTCGAATTAGCCATGAACACGGAAACTGAAACTGCTTGTGATGGAGAGCAGCGGCCTGAGGAGAGAGGAAGAGGAGCAGGGGGGAGCCGTGCCTGGTGGCTGCATGCACAGGGCCGCTTCAAACCTGTCGGGGATCAGGTT